AATTTTGACTTTTCTTAGACCATTTCAAAATAAGAATCAGAATTTTTGAAGAATGTATTCATTATTCATCACAAAAGTTAGTGCATGCATTGTTTCATTAAGTCTATATTTTCAAGGGACAGCATTGGAGTTTATCTCCTCTTAATAATTTTCTTTAGAGTTTTAAATATAATCATCTATTTTCTCATGGAAAATCAGAAATCCCATAATGTCTAAGTCATGCCATATGTGAGAAAAATACATGAAATCTGAGAAAGAATAACTTATCATTTGAAACGTGATGATTACACAAAAATAAATAAATTCAGGCATATTAAAAAACCCACTGGAAAACTCCTATCTATAGACTATATCTGCTTACTAGTGCAAACCAATTTTAGTTTTCCCAAACCAAAGCAACCATTAGTAGTTTCCCAAAAGCAGAGAGGAAAAGTTTCGCTATAAACAAATTATGAGATCATTTTTTAAACATTTCAGATTAATATGAGCATATAGATACTTAGGTTACATTGTTTGGGTTTGTTAAGGTAGAGTCCAAGTGGTAGTTGTGCCCCTCCCCCAGGAGGTGTGCCATGTACCCTTGTAACATTGTGCTTGTTAGGTGAGAGCACACCAATCTCCCTCTCGCCCCTCCCTTCTATCCCCCACCCCACGTGCATTTAATTGTGTTTTTCTCTTGTGTGGGTGTGTATTTGTTCATCTACTGGTTTCATATGAATATTGAGTACCTTGAACTATTGCTTTTCCATCTTTGTGATACTTTACTAAATGGAATGTTCTCTAACTCCATCCAGGTAAATACAAAAGATGTAAAGTCTCCATCTTTTTTTTTTTTTAAAGGCCAAATAGTATTCCATGGTATACAGGTACCATAGCTTATTAATCCATTCATGTGTTGATGGGGACTTGGTTTGAGTCTACATCTTGGTGATTGTGAAATGAGCTGTGATAAATATTCTACTGGAAATTTCCTTACAGTAAAATGATTTTTTTTCTTTTGGGTAATGTCTAGTAATGGGATTGTGGTATCAGATAGAAGGTCTACTCTTAGTTCTTTGAGGATTCTCCATACTTCTTTCCAAAGAGGCTGTATTAGTTTTATGTGATCATTTTGACAGAGTAATTTATGTGCACATTATGCAAAATAAATTCTAGACTAAAGATAGTTGAAATGTAACGAAGTAGTATTTATGTTCCCTGGCAAGTCAATGGTTGTATTTCTTCTTTAAGAATATGTTAAAAGATGAATTATCTTAATATCTTTGTGCTCGATTGACTTTTCCAATTATGCAGACATTTGTATTCAGTGTTGTCCTTCTTGTTAATGGAATAAAAAGAAGCCTTTATCCTCTCCATCATAACCTCCATGATTCTGCATAATTAACAATTTCTAAACCCATCTTGTTTTCCAGATTTCTCACCTTGCTTATCAGGAAATTTAGGTATGCTGTCCAAATGCTAATAAACAAGGCAATTTAATATTGTGAGATTTAGAAAACCATGCATTATCTAAGTTTGTATTTATCACACAGGATTATGTTAAACATAAACTTAAACCAAGCTTCCTGCCCTACAACAAACTTAGAACCTAGAGAATATATCAAGCTGGAAGGCAGTGGTAAGGACATTCAGTTAGCTACTGTTTATTGCCTTTCATAGACACACTACTATATTAAAGCAGTGGAAAAGGAGACCAAATTATGTCTGTATGCTTAAATTTCTAACATTCTGCTCTGGTCTATTGGAACATGGCAAGTGTTAACATAGAATCATGCATTTGGAAAATAAGGACAGAGTTCTTACTACTGTCATGTATTCTAAAATCAGAATTATCTTTTTCATAAGTTTAGGAGAGATGCTTTGTAAGTACTTTTGTATTTTTTTCTGACAATTCATCTGTCAATCTATCATCTATTTCTATTGTTCTTTGAAAATGAGATCATAAAAATGTGCTGTTTTTGCCACTTGATTTTTTGTTTAATTTATTGTGACTTAAGTGGCACAGATAAATGAACAGATATTTCTCTACATTGTCTTTTTGATACTGAACCAGGTCTGTTCTACAGGTGGCACAGTAAGACACTCACTGTGGTGACAGGTTTTGCAAAAGAGAGTTTATTCACAAAGCACCTAACCCAGGAGATGGGAGAACAGATCCCTGCCTGTCTGAGGATAGGGCTTAGAGATATTTAGGGTCAAGAAGTGGGGTCGAGTGAAAGGGGAAAGGTGATTGGAAGTGGGTGAAAATTAGGTAATGGGATTCTGCCCAAGAGTAATGGAGCCACACAGCTCTACATAAAACATGGGTTTAGAAAATGGCAGCATTTGCATAATCTGAGGCTGAGGTCTTTGGCCCTCTGATGTCAATAGGCCATTCTTCTTCCAGCACCCATGCAAGCCCAGTTAGAGTTGGTGGTCTCCACTGGTTTGAACTAGGTAAGAGCTGTCCTCTAGTTCCTGAAAAACTTTAAGGAACAGTATTCTAGTGACCCCCCCCCCCGTAGATGTTATCTATAGGAAGGCTAGTGGGAGCTTAGTTATATATTGTTTGGCCATATGACTTTTAGCTATGCAGGTTTTAAGATCAACTAGAAGTAAATGATTAAAAACCCAAGCAAGGTAGAGGAAGTGCTTTTACAGTGTTGGTGGGATTACAAATTAATCTAGCCTCTTTGAAAAGAAGTATGGAGAACCCTCAAAGAACTCAAAATAAACTTTCCATTTGATTCCACAATCCTATTACTAGGCTTCTATCAAGAAGAAAAAAAATCCATTTATCATAAGGGCCTTTGCACTAGATTGTTTATCACAGCTCAATTTACAGTTGCTAAGACGTAGAAACAACCCAAGTGCCCATCAACCCAGGAATTGATTAATGAATTGTGGTGTGCATATACCATGGAATACTATTTAGCCATAAAAGGATGGGAATTTCACATTTTTTGCATTAACCTGGATAGAGTTGAAACATATTCTTCTTAGTAAAGTATCATAAGAATAGAAAAGCAAGAATCCCATGTACTCGATACTAATATGAGACCAGCAGATAAACTAATACATGCCCATTCAAGAAAAAACTCAATTCAATTCAAGTGGCGGGGAGAGGGTTGGTGTGCTCCCACCTAATGGGCACAATGTAAGGGTACATAGCACACCTCCTAGGTGCAGGACACAACTACAACAGGGACTTTACTAACAAAGGCAATCATCAGAACTTAATCATTCGTATACTGATATTAATCTGAATTTTTTTTTAAAAAAGCAGCTCAGTTTGGTTGTCTTAATCAGGTGAGCCCTTGGTTTCATTTTCTTGTTGTTGGGGACACTATTTTATATGTGTCTCCATTATTTTTAACCAGTCCTTTACTTATTTGGTTAGTTTCTTAAATACAGTAATGGCTTTCTGCCTATGGACGCTGCCGAGGAAGCATCATTAAAGCCTCTCTTCCCACCACCATCATGTCTAAGTCAGAGTCTCCTAAAGAGCTCGAACAGCTGCGGAAGCTATTCATTGGAGGGTTGAGCTTTGAAATGATGGAGAGTCTGAGGAGCCATTCTGAGCAATGGGGAATGCTCACAGACTGCGTGGTAATGAGAGATCCAAACACCAAGCGCTCCAGGGGCTTTAGGTTTGTCACATATGTGACCGTGGAGGAGGTGGATGCAGCAGTGAATGCAAGGCCACACAAGGTGGATGGAAGAGTTGTGGAACCAAAGAGAGCTGTTTCCAGAGAAGATTCTCAAAGACGTGATGCCCACTTAACTGTGAAAAAGTTCTTTGTTGGTGGCATTAAAGAGGATACTGAAGAACATCACTTAAGAGCCTATTTTGAACAGTATGGAAAGATGGAAGTGATTGAAATCATGACTGACCAAGACAGTGGCAAGAAGAGGGGCTTTGCTTTTGTTACATTTGATGACCATGATTCTGTGGATAACATTGTAATTCAGAAATACGATACCGTGAATTGCCACAACTGTGAAGTAAGGAAAGCCCTATCAAAGCAAGAGATGGCCAGTGCTTCGTCCAGCCAAAGAGATCGAAGTGGTTCTGGAAACTTTGATGGGGGTCATGGAGGTGTTTTTGGTGGAAATGACAACTTTGGCCATGGAGGAAACTTCAGTGGCCATGGTGGATTTGGTGGCGGCTGTGGTGGTGGTGGATATGGTGGCAGTGGAGATGGCTACAATGGATTTGGTAATGATAGAAGCAATTTTGGAGGTGGTGGAAGTTACAATGATTCTGGCAATTATAACAATCAGTCATCAAATTTTGGACCCATGAAGGGAGGAAATTTTGGAGGCAGAAGCTCTGGCCCTTATGGTGGTGGCGGCCAATACTTTGCCAAACCACGAAACCAAGGTGGCTATGGTGGTTCCAGTAGCTATGGCAGTGGCAGAAGGTTTTGATTATTCCCAGGAAACAAAGCTTAGCAGGAGAGGAGAGCCAGAGAAGTGACAGGGAAGCTACAGGTTACAACAGATCTGTGAAATCAGCCAAGGACAGTGGTGGCAGGGCCTAGGTGCTACAAAGAAGACATGTTTTAGACAATACTCATGTGTACGGGCAAAAAACTCAAGGACTGCATTTGTGACTATTGTATAACAGGTTATTTTAGTTTCTGTTCTGTGGAAAGTGTAAAGCATTCCCACAAAGAGTTTTCATGTAGATTTTTTTTTTTGCACCCATGCTGTTGATTGATAAATGTTAATAGTCTGACCATGATGCTGAATAAATGTGTCTTTTTAAAAAAAATATGTTGTATAAAGTTAGTCTATTCTGAAACCATTTTGGTAAACTTTCCAAAAGTGTGAAGCTGGAATTCCTTCAGGGTGATGCCAGGTTCTATTTGAAATTCATTTGCAACCTGCTTAGGTGAAGAAGCCATTGTCTTCAGAAACCTTGGTGTAGTGGAACTGAGGGTTACTGTTGTGACCTGAAGCTCACCATTTAAAGGGATCATCCTAGGAAAATCATGGAATTATTGGTTATAAAGGTGATTGTTGGCATATCCTATGCAATATATCTAAATTGAATAATGGTACCAGACAAAATTACAATGAGAATAAAGCTTGTGTATCTACCATTGTCATGTGTAATCAATAAACAATTTAATTCTCTTGAAAAAAAAATACAGTAATGAATAACATTTCTACTTAAGGTAAATTCCTAAAGAGGAATTGATAATTCAAAAAAGATACGAAATCCACTGAACCCATGTCTATTCATATATCTATAAATCTAAATTTACATCTATAATTATGGCTAAATTGTTCATCATCATTTCATAATCATTTGCCCCCAAATCATGTTTTTAAATCTTTATGAAGCTGTAAGGTGAAAATGTTCTACATCATTTACTTTTTCTACACTTTTCCTTGATAATACTAGATTTTCTTTATATGTGGTTAAAATTAGTTCCAATGTGTTCAGTTATTATTAATTTGCTTTGTGTATTTTAGTGTTATAAAGCTCAGCTAGTAGAAATTCCTAACAATTATTACAACACCATTTAAAGCCTTCTTTTCTCTAATTCTTCTTTTCCCTTATGTTAAATATGACTTAATTTTTCTCAGCATTTTCATAGCATATTTGTCTTGATATTTTGACTTTTAACATTTGTTTATAATCTAATGTCAGATGTAGTCTAATATCAAATAAACAAGTGACCTCATTTATTTTATACTGAGTATATTTTGTAATTTGTTAACCATTTTTTGTACTTTAGTATTTCTTGAAATTTTCTTTCATTTGCTATATTTCTTCTCTCCTAATTTGTAATCTCTATAGCCTGTTTTATTTCCATAGATAGTTATGGTTAAGACCATTTATTAAGAACATACTTAAGTTTGTATTTGTTGAATTATTAGAAGCAGTATCATTTACTTCTCCTGTAGATGTGGGAATTAGAATACTTAGATTCTTCCCACCTTCCTCCCATTTTTTTCAGATCTTGTACAGTTTATTAATACTAAAATGATTATTATGTTTTCCCCCACTCATGTATTCTTGGCATCAATCATAGTGTGTGCATTCTGATCTTTGACTATGGTTGTTAAAATTATAGACTTAGTGTTATTTGTATTCAAATGATTTCATTGCTCTCCCCTTGTCCACTAATTTATGACTGACTTATGAATTTCTGCATTTTGACTCTTTCTCTTTGCACCATCCCAGGGAAGTTTATCAGTAATGGTGGATGGAGGTTGTAGAAGTTTGGACTGAATATCCAAGGACATCTTTCGCTTGACTATAGTCAGGTCACTTGGCGTTGGTTCAGTGTGGGAGCTATCCACTTACTAATGTTTGGCAGCTAAAGCAGCTCCTAGTGGAGAGGTCCCTATCCCACAGACTGCCCTGGCTCTCAGCCCACACTTAATCCTCTGGATTAAGGGAATTTTCTTCCAATTCAATATAACCTAGGGGCGCGCTTTTTGTTTGTTGCCTTTGCCACCAGCTTACCTTACTAAGGTTGCAACCTCAGGACACAATTGCTTTAGGCCTCTGAGGGAATCTTTTCAGATTTTTCCTGTCCTCTATCCCCCATCATTCCTAATTAAGCAGAATTCGATGAGGTTTTCGGGACTTTCTTTATTTACTCTCCACAACAATGTACAGCTTTTTAAGAAGTTTGGTTTTTGTTTTTTTTTTTTTTTTTGAGACAGAGACTCACTCTGTCACCCTGGGTAAGAGTGCTGTGGCATCTTCATAGCTCACAGCAACTTCAGACTCTTGGGCTCAAGTGATTCTCCTGCCTCAGCCTCCCTAGTAGCAGGACTACAGCCACTTGCCATGATGCCTGGCTCGTTTTTCTATTTTTAGTAGAGACAGGGTCTTGCTCTTGCTCAGGCTATTCTTGAATTTGTGAACTAAGCCAATTCTACCTGCCTCAGCCTCCCAGAGTGCTAAGATAACAGGCATGAGCCACTGCCCCCAGCCCTCTAAAGAAGGTTTGATATAAGGCTGCCCTGATTTGTTCCTTTTTGCTGATTCCATATCTAGTAGTAATTTCTCAAACTTCGTGATGCTGTGTATCAGTGGTAGCATTCTCTCAGTTGCCATCTGTGGGCAGATAGAGCCCTGCTACAATCTCAGCTTTCTCTGGTACGAAGGAATATTTGGAATATTCAGAATATTCAGCATATCTGAAAATGTCAGTGTAGATCTTCTAGTTGTAGCAGCTTATTTTTATGTATCTTAAATCCTGTGAAATGCAAAAAAAAAAGAAAGTAAGGAACTGAAATCTTCTTACTAAGGTAGCTCAACAGCTTGTCCCTTCCAGGGTCACAGTGTAGAATTGTTCAGAAGTGTTGTTTGCTTTTAACCTGCAGAGAAAAGGAGAGAGGTTGGCGATATCCAAAAGAAGTCAGCCATCTAACAGATGTTTCCAAGGGATACACAAAAGTGGGGGTGTCTCCCATCGGTGACAAAGGCCTCAGTTTCAGTTCGGTGAAGGGGTCTCTGATTAAAGGAAGAAACGTGTTCTAAGAAGAAAGAAAGCTTTGGTGACTTTTCAGAAAGATGTTCTGGCTCCACACACAGTTCCATTTTTCAACCTGCTAGAAGTCAGACCTTTCAAAAGATTCCTCCCAGCTGCTGCTGAGCTCGATGTCTGCTGACCAAGCGATTCTCCGAGTGGGGCTCAGTGTGCGGCGGCCGACGCTCACGTAGCAGCAGACTCAGCGGTGGAACCTCAGTGAGATTGAATCATAACATAGCTGGGGAAAAAATTGGGTGTTCAGCTAAAAGTCAATCCCTGGCAAGTTAGAGAAAGAAAAACACCAACCTCCTCTGGCTGAGTGTCCCCTGTGTCCGGCCCTGCACGCCTGGTTCAACACCACCAGCGTGGTGAGGAGACATGGAAACGTCTGTTTCCTTCCACAGCTACATGATGGGTCTCCACAGAGGTGGTCTCGCACCAGCAGTCCCAGCATCACATAGAAAACTAATAGAAACACAAATTCTCGGGCTCTCCCAGACATTCTGTGGTGGAGGCCCCTAATCTGTGTTCCAAGAAGTCCTGTAGGAGATTCCCAGGTGCATTAAAATTTGAGAACCAGTGGTCCATAGCGCCAAATGAGGACCTTAATTGCCTACTTCCTAGATTTTCAAAAGAGTCTGCTCTAGGAATAGTGTCAGGTTGAATGCCCACCCACAGCTCACCAGATCTTTTGCAGACATGAAATCCGGCTGGAAAGGAGCATAATTAACAGTTATTCTGAAGGAAGCATGCCGAGTCCAACACCCAGGCCCGCCTCTAGCTCAGACCTTCCATGTTTGGTTGCTTTCTCCTGGAGTTTCCTTAGCTCCAGAGCATACCTGCAATTTGAACCAAATCTTTGTTCATGACTGCCTCAGATTTCAGGAATTTGGGGATGTCCCCATGGTTGTCCTTTGTGCACATATTCTGTCCAGGGTGTGTGAGCTGGTAGCCCACATTCTGATCATACCTGCCTAGATAATCTGGTTGAGTTGCTCCCAGGTATGCTAAGAATTGATCTCACTCCATGCCTCGTCCTTCGTACCTGATTTTATGTTGACATTTTTACATTTGAGTTGAGGTAAAGCAGAAGAGACCAAATCCCAAACCTATCTATTCTCCCTGTGTATTTTTCTTAGATTTGATTTTAAAACCCTCAGGCTTCTGCCAGAAAAGTAATTAGCAGTCCAGATAAGAGGGCATCTATGCCAAGTTCATGTCTGCCACAACACAGATATGAGAAAACTATAAATTTGATTAGTACTTGCAGATCGCTTGCAGGCCCATATCTCACTTTCAGAAGATAGGAAGTTAAAAGGGAAATTTAATAGAAAAGAACATGGCTTTTATCTCTATGTCACCCATGAATTATTACATTTAGAGGTGAATGTTCAGAGGTTCTTGTGAATGGGGGAGAAAACTCAATGAGCAGCATTTAAGGAAAGTCCTCTGGTGAGGGAGGATGTTATTCTACCCCCCTGTGCTCTCAGGAAAATGGTGTTTCCTCTCGGTACCTGGTTACTTAGCCTATAACATCAGCAGCCAGAGTCAAGCAAGAGCAACAGTGTCTGCAGATGAGCACTAGGAAAAAAGGATCGAAAATGATATCCAAAACTAAGACAGGAAATCTGGGTACCATTGAAAATTTTCTCTTGGTAAAGGACATCCTGGGAGGTTCAAGAGATGCTAAGAGAGGATCTCAGAGACAGTATTGGGGCCAGGACCGGAGTCAGCAGACCGTTCAGCAGAGGGCTGAGCTGGAATGATGAAAGATCAAAGTGGACAGAGAGGTGGAGGAAGTGGGCTTGGGAAAGAGCGTGGGAGGAAGGACATCCTTGAGATCTGGGTCTTACAGAAGAGGGAGGCAGAGTTTCACAGGGCAGGAAAGAAAGGAACCCTTCAGATGCCGAGTGAACTCAGACAGCCATC